GTGATCACATCCGGGACTCCGAACAACCTTCGGTACATCAAAACTTATAAACTCATAATAAAACTGTCATCGTAACGTTAAGCGTGCGGACTCTACGGGTTCGAGAACTATGTAGACATGACCTAGAACTATTCTCGGTCAATAACCAATAGCGGAACCTGGATGCTCATATTGGCTCCTACATATTCTGCGAAGATCTTTATCGGTCAAACCGCATAACAATATACGTTGTTCCCTTTGTCACCGGTATGTTACTTGCCCGAGATTCGATCGTCGGTATCCAATACCTAGTTCAATCTCGTTACTGGAAGTCTCTTTACTCGTTACGTAATGCATCATTCCGTAACTAACTCATTAGCTACATTGCTTGCAAGGCTTATAGTGATGTGCATTACCGAGAGGGCCCAGAGATACCTCTTCGACAATCGGAGTGACAAAACCTAATCTCGAAATACGCCAACCCAACATGTACCTTTGGAGACACCTGTAGTACTCCTTTATAATCACCCAGTTACGTTGTGACGTTTGGTAGCACCCAAAGTGTTCCTCCGGTAAACGGGGGTTGCATAATCTCATAGTTACAGGAACATGTATAAGTTATGAAGAAAGCAATAGCAATATACTAAACGATCAAGTGCTAGGCTAACGGAATGGGTCATGTCAAGCACATCATTCTTCTAGTGATGTGATCCCGTTAATCAAATGACAACTCATGTCTATGGTTAAGAAACTTAACCATCTTTGATTAACAAGCTAGTCAAGTAGAGTCATACTAGTGACACTATGTTTGTCTATGTATTCACACATGTATTATGTTTCCGGTTAATACAATTATAGCATGAATAATAAACATTTATCATGAAATAAGGAAATAAATATTAACTTTATTATTGCCTCTAGGGCATATTTCCTTCACCCAGTCCCTAGGACTTACACTGACGGCCTCTGCCTCCACTGACCTTGTCGCCTATTCTGATGCGGACTGGGCCGGCTACCCGGACACACGGCGCTCCACCTTGGGGTACCGTGTCTACCTTGGGTCGTCCCTGATCTCTTGGTCCTCCAAGCGACAGCCCACCGTCTCCCGCTCGAGTGCCAAGGCTGAGTATCGAGCAGTGACTAACGCCGTTCCTGAATGCTCTTGGCTTCGACAGCTGCTTCAGGAGTTGCTTTGTGATGTTCACAAGGCCACGCTCGTCTACTGCGACAACGTCTCCACCGTGTACCTCTCCGCCAACCCGGTCCACCATCGTCGAACGAAGCATATTGAGCTCGACATACACTTCGTTCGTGAGTAGGTGGCTCTTGGGCGCATCCGGGTCCTCCACGTCCCGACGGCGCAACAGTTCGCCGACGTCATGACAAAAGGACTGCCTACTTCTGTCTTCGAGGAGTTCATGTCCAGTCTTTGCGTCTCCGGCGACGCTTCGACTGTGGGAGGTGTTGAATATATGGTTTGTGCATGTATATTGTATAGCCCGGCCCACCTCCTAGTCATTGTATAGTTGAGGTTGTGGCCTACCTTGTACTCCATATATACGTGCGCTATGCACCGATCAATACATCGTGAAGCATTGCCAAACTCTCGTTTCCAACACTGCGCCTCGATGTGCCGTGAGGGCTTCGACACCACCAGGCCCGCCGTCACTGACGACCGCCGCTGTTTTGCTGGTTGAACGGCCTAATCAAGGCACGAGCAGGTAGGTCCTCCTGGTACCTGCCGAGGAAGAGCCGTGCAGGCAGGCGCATTGTGAGGTCATTCAGCCGGCAAAAACGCCGGTTCCTCGTTGGGAAGCTCGTTGTCATGTCCATCCATGCCCACGACATCTGGGCTGACGTCTTCGACCATGGCATGGCAGCAGAGACCCGGCCTGGGATCCGGACCTAGAACATGTCAACCATCAGATCATTGCCACTGTTTCCTTGATCTGGCGTGGAGAGGAAAGACAGACGACGGCACAACAACAACAGACGGAGGCCAAATTTCGTGTTTTGACCCTTTTGTCAAACAAATTCGAGATCTGACCCCAGTTTGAAAACATTTTGAGATCTGACCCTTTTGCTACCGTCAGACCCTCGGGCGGTAGGGTTGCACAGTCTACCGCTGCAGGTTCCGGCGGTAGGTGTGCCTGACGGGCGTCAAACGGTTAACGACTGCTTATGTACCTACCGCCAAAGCCCACGGCGGTAGCCCACACAAACCTACCGTCGAGTGCCCTGGCGGTAGGGTATCATAGTCCGCATGAACTTAACTACTTTGATTTTGTCTTCAATTTTTTTGCCATAGACATAAGAAACAATAAGCACAATTTCATAGACATAACATAGTTTGATCACATCCAAAAAGTTTTGCCATTACGGACTAAGAAACAAGTACCAAATAACATAGTTTGATCACATAACATAGTTTAACCAAATAACATAACATAGTTCGAAGGCAACATAAGAAGTTTAACAAGTTCAACGGTCATCGACCGCATAAAAGGTTTCATCCATAGGTAGCAATCAAACATGACGATCATCAGCAGCCACACGCATATATAGTTTAGATGATATCGATGACGATCATCATCTTCAAGTCTTGATGGTTGGTTTTCTGGATAGTAATAAGGATGGCCTGTCCAACATGAAGATTCTTGTCAACGTGGAAGCTCTTCCACCATTAAATGTGTGCGACCGTCCGTTTCCACACTGTACGCACAAGTAGTGACGGGGCCCCTTGCGGTAAGGCGTATTCCAGCATAGCCTTCTTCATCAGCCTCGATGCCACAACTCTCAGATAGGCTCTTTGGCAATTTTTGAATAAGAAAAACATATCAATTAATAAGTTTGGATTATCTAAACTATTAACAATTCCTTGGATTCTACACTAATAACATACCATGACATGTCGATCGATCATGGTACTTGTCAGACAGGTCACGAATGGCGCCCCGATCAACTCAGCACGTGGCAGAAAGTTGTCCCATAGGTTGCACACCTCCTGTTCGCTCAGCCTCACTCTTTGAGCACAGATGGCTTCCTCAAGTGGGTCTTCATAGTCATCATCCTCATCAAGTGGTGGTGGTGGCGCCATGTTCCTTATATAAGTATTGATTGGATAAAGTTAATTAAACATCAATATTTGTTCTAATGCAAGCAAAACAAATATCTACAATATTCACACAATAAATCATCACATATGGCTATAAGAAAGACTAAACCTAGGGTTCATCTAGGTTCTGGGATTCATCTAGGTTCTAGGGTTCATCTAGGTTCTAGGGTTCATCATATCAACTAGAGAGGGTTCCTCGTATGGCTATAAGAAAGACTAAACCTAGGGTTCATCAACTAGGTTCATCACATTGCAATCATCTAGGTTTAGGGTTCATCATATCAACTAGAGAGGGTTCCTCATATGGCTATAAGAAAGCGGATCGATTGACTCAAACTAATTGGGGGATTGGAGGAGCTTACCTTCCTCTTTCCGTAGCCATCTCGATACGCAAAATCCGTGAATCGACGAAGAAGATCGGAGTGGGGAAGTGGAGGAGATGAGAAAATGGGCGAGAGGAAGAAGAAGGCGGCTGGGTGGGTGGG